CATCTCGCCGGAGGGCGTAGCAGCCCGGCAGTCCCGCCCCCCGCGACGCCGCGCAGACATGGTCCCGCCCCTTCCGGTCCCGCCTCGCTCCCGGCGCAGGGAACTGTCCGTTCTATGGGGTGAGGGCCTGCGCTGGAGGGTCCCGGGGTCGTGTGGTCCGGCTTCCCAGGTGAGCTCTAACCTTGGGGCAGGGAAGCCGACGTGTAGCAGGAGTTTGCTCCAGGCCGGAGGATGCACGTACGTACCCTCGCCGCATGCTCAGTAGCCCTTCCTGTTCCTGACCCAAGGCCAGGAAGAGAAATTAAGGGCACTTAAGGTGACTCCAACGCCCTTCTAAACCAGCCGGTGGCTGATGGGTGACCTTGGGGGGACTCTCAATCCTACTAACCAAGAAGTGATGGTTAAAAATGGAAACACCTCCAAGTACATGTGCACTGGGGGATTCTATCCCAATGGACTACTTCCAACTGCCCTAGACCTTCTCATTTTCATTGCAGCAAATATATAGATGAAACCAATAGCTAACTTTTATTGGGCATTTACGGTGTGACATGCACTTTTAAGCATTTCAAATATATTAATATGCAGAACAGCCCTATGAGATAGTACTTACTAATACTTTCATTTTTGAGATAACTAAACTTAGTTAAGACAGAAAGGGGTAAAGCATGGTTTGGACCACAGAGGATGTGCTCCTTAAGTGCCTTCACTCCATTCTCCCTTTTGTCTCTTCCTGGTTTGTTGGTTTTGCTACTTAGGATATATTTCATCAAAGCACTGAAAGCTGTGCCTCCTGCACGCCCCCCACTGGGGATCAAGCCCACAAACCAGGCATGTACCCGTAACGGGAATCGAACCAAGGACCCTTCACTCTGAAGGCTGACGCCCAAACCAGCTAGGGCCATATCTGCATCCTTAATATAGCCATCCTTCCAAAGAAAAGATGTATCCATCTAACTACTGGAATCCCTCTAATGCAAGCAATGGAATAAGCACGTGGCTAGCCTATTCATTCAACAAGCACTCATGTATTTGGCCAGCAGGGCAAAAATTAACACAAAACCAGCTCTTGCTTTCAGGGATCTCAAGAGGAAACTTGACTGCAACAGGTGGTGGAGCAGGGATTGGAACCAAAGCCAAGGGCTGTGGGAGGCCCTTGGTCAGTCTTTATGGATTCCAGGATGAAAGCAACAGGATCAGAGAGGAATCATGACTCATTTTACCTCTGCCCCAATCCCTATACAACACTAAGATTTGAAAAGACAGCTCAAGAGGTGGATCAAAGAAATGCCACCAACTATAAAAATTAAATCTCATTAGGCTTCTGATGTTGCCCACTGAAATTTGATTAGAAATCTGATTAAACAGTAGAAAGCCCATAAAATTCACTCCATCCCCATTGCACGGAGGTATTGGCAGTCCCACCACCTGTATGCTGCCCCCCAAGTATTATCAACATGCAGACAACAAAGCTCTAAGCATATGTGTTTATTGAACTACTGACTCAACTTTTTAAATAGCAGCCAAATGCTACTCCTAGGGGAATCTCTCCTTCAGCATTCAGACAGCTTGTGAAAGCAGTGAACTGTAATGCCACAGTAACTTTATTGTTGCAAACCACGTAAGGACATGCACTTATGAAGACCACAATGTGGTTAGCTCTCAGTGCAGCCTTCTGATCCCAATTCTACCCACTGAATAATTACTTAATCAGGCAATCCTTGCTTGAAATTCTGCCAAATTTTGTTTTCATTCTTCTAGTTCAGTATGAACCTCTGAAGTTAAGGTGCTTTGTGTTATGTATAAGGGAACTTTAAATAATGGCAATTAAGTCTATGAGAAAGTTAGATGCTGGCCAGTGTTAAAAGATAAATATACAAAAACAAAAGATTGGAAGCTGCTTTTCTCAGCTGTCAATTCTAAAATAAGGATTTTGTCAACTATCTGTCTCTGTCCTCATTTGCTCTTTATCCTCTCTAACATCAACACTGGCCAAGTACCAAGTCCACAAGTGGCAAATATTAAAATAGTGCCACACATTAAGCAGAAACATGTACACCAAATTTTACTGTGCATATTAATAAATATTCTTTATTTAAATTTTGCACATTGCGCTTTAACAGTACATCCAAACATTTCGCAAGTGGATGTCTACTTTGTAAAACCATATATTCAGCTCATTGTCATTTCTGTACAGAAGTATAAGTACAACATTACTTTTTGCCACTAAGTTGCTTTAGTAAGTCTCACAGGAAGAGAAACATTTAGTGAAAGAGATGGCTTAAATCATATGGCAGGCCTGTGCAGCCACTAAAGACACAAGCCTAAAGAAAGAACAAACTAATGAGGTTACCTCCACCATCTCCCAAAACAAAGAATCACATTGATTTAAGATAAAATTTTGCTGTAAGTCACTAAATTAAGAGGTTTTTTGAAAGAGAAGGCGCAGTAGTCATCTTGAGTGTTTCATTGAAAGACAGAGCTATTTTATTTATTTAATTTGCTCCAGCCGTTGTCAACCAGCCACTACAAATGGGCCTCTTGTGATCATTTAAGCGGCAGTATTTATTAAATTTCTCCTTCAGATGCTGTCGGTATTGTTCTCTATTGCTGTAGAACGACTGGTTATTGGCCATAAATGACTGTATTTCATCTTGTGAGATAAAGATTTCCTCATCTGAAGTACATTCAGACTCATCCTGCAAATTAAAGGAATAATTAAGACTTTGATTTAAAGAATGCAAAATGTTATGCTGATGGAGGACAGCTAAATATTAAAAAGCAGTCAAGCTTTTAGTTTCAATTCAGTAAAATAAAACCTTTAATTGGAATGTTTACAGAATAAGCATAATGTTATTCTGTCTTAGAAAGTACTAAATGAGAATCAAATTCAACTCAGTTTGATTTGGTTTGAAACTCTGGATCTAACATTTTTCCTAGAAGCCTATAAGGAGCATAGCTGATACCAACATATCTTCTTTCTGCCTTAAAAAAAAATGACTAATTAGAGATGGTTATAGCTAAGTTACCAAATTTTAAATAACCAGACTTATCTCTAGTTGATTTTAAGCTGAAACTTTTATTTCTACAAATTAAGTGAAATATAACCTTTATTAACTTTGTTACACAGCAACATCTAACTTTATAACCTTATGAAAAAGAAAAAACTAGTATTCTATAGATCATTTGGTTCCATTAAGATCCTATAGAAAAGACACCACCCTTCTCCTTCCTTCCCCCTCCTCTAAGCCCCACACAAGCTATGCACGATATCACTTGGAATCAGGTATATATACCTCATTTCAAGTATCAAGAACTAGAATCAATTATAAAAGGTTTTCCATGTTCAGTTATGCTTTTATCATGCATGACCTAAAGGGAGTAACCTAAAAATATGGGCTTTCGTTCAGATTCTGGTCTGGAAGGGTGTCTACTATATAAATTGCCACTCAGAAAGGCAATTTCCTTACAATAACCCTCCTCTTGAAGGAGGCAGATTCCTAGACATGATGCTAACTCTACCCTCATCTCCCAACTAGTTTCTTCTACCTTTGAGAGAAAGGAGAACAGGGAAATGTACTTCTGAGTAGCTGCATAAACCATGAGTGGAAGAACAAAAATGAAGTCACCAAAACAATAATGAAATAATTCTCTTAATTTCCCCCACTTCCAACTTTAACCCTTTGCGGTTGTTTGTCTACTCTCAGCCACCAAAGCTTTTTTACCGTTCCAGTCGTATGTCTGCTCTCAGCCACCACAGCAAGGAACCGTACGAATCTTAACTCTATTCATTCATGTATCAGTCCATAATTTCTCTGAAAGCTCTTAAGTGTCTAAACGACCTTGTCACGAACCAAAACATTGCCCTGACAAATCGGATTTTTATTGTGGCACCTTGAATACTGACTCTGACGTAGAAAGTGATAACGTTTGTAGTGATTCTACTAGTAGTGACGTAGTTCCAAAAAAGAATTAATAAATCTTGTTTATCCTTCATAATCTTGTATGTTATGTATCACTCTCTTTCAATGGAAATTAATTCCGACCAGTACGGCACCCATGTCCAAATTTAATACGACCGCAAAGGGTTAAACCCTCAAAAATTCTGTCCACTCCCACTTCTAGCCATGGGCACTCAGTTATCCACAATAAGACATCATAGTTTACTTACAAGGAGTTCAACTAAGCTCTTGGCACCTTTTCCAGAATCAGGACCAAATGACATTTCTGTAGGTTCTGCAAACTGTGGTACATTTTTTCTATGCTCAAACCAAGGCAGTGGCTGCCCACCCTTTTCAGAGCTACAACAGCTTTCAGGATGTGCATCTTTGGTCTTGTCACGGTGGAACACTGTGTGCACGGTATTTCCTGAGGTCTCTCGATTTCCTGGATCTGTAATACAGCTTCCAAGCTTTTGGATCTAAAACCATAGCAAAAAGATTTCCCAGGTAAGAAGGCAGTGATTAATAGCAAAAAGCCCCAATAGTGCATTAAATTTCTAAAAAGAATAATGAATAAAAGCAGCAGCTGAAATTTATTAAACACTGCATACTGGGCACTATGCTAACCCAGCCATATAATCTCATTTTATCTTCACACTAGAGGCCCAATGCACGAAATTCATGCAAGGGGCTCGGCCATCGTCCGGAAGGTGTCGGCTGTCCGGTCTAATTAGCATATTACGATTTTATTATTACGGAAGATAACTTAATCTGAGGGGGACCTTTTTCTCCATTTTACAGATGGAAAAGTATGATCAAGCAAGCTTTCAAAGTATTATGAAAAGAATGAATTGGATTTATGACTCTCATGGATTGTTGGACAAATGACCACATCAGACACACACCCAAATCACAAGATAAGCAACCAATGGAACTGCATAAGATACTCATTCTTAAAAAAACAGTAATAGTAAATCCTAGCAGCTAAGCTGCACACTTGCCACACCAAGGAAAAGAGGCTATTCCCCCCTCAACCGCAAAGGCTTCAGAATTGCAAGTTATGACACTAACATGTTCATCACATTTCAACATCTTGCTTTTCTTTTTCTTCTTTTTATTTTTTCCTTTGGTGTTGTTCTCTTCGGAATTTGCCCAACATTCAACACAACTATCACCATCATCCTCTTTGTCTTCACAGTGATGAACACAGGAGTCATCACCTGCAGAAATCAGTAATCTCTTATTTATGTGCTTAAATCAGCCATGTAGCAGAAATAATTGGGAAGCTTAATCTGAACCTACCGTGTTCGTCATGATTACAAATGCCTTCAGTGCAGGCAACATCTGAACCCTCCCGGGAACCTGTTTCACTCCCTTCCATGCTAGATGAATATCCACAATCACTACCATTACAGTGTGGAGATAAGCCTGAGAATTAATTAGGTGACAGTTACAATTAACATACCAATAAATATGTTAAGACAAAATGTGAACTATTTAAGACCATAGAAATTTTTCAAAATTAATGATTAAAAGTAGAAAGTAGCCGAAACCGGTTTGGCTCAATGGATAGAGCATCGGCCTGCGGACTGAAAGGTCCCAGGTTCGATTCCGGTCAAGGGCATGTACCTGGGTTGCGGGCACATCCTCAGTAGATGTGCAGGAGGCAGCTGATCGATGTTTCTCTCTCATCGATGTTTCTAACTCTCTATCTCTCTCCCTTCCTGTCTGTAAATAATCAATAAAATATATTATAAAAAAAAAAAGGTAGAAAATAAATTAATAAAAACACAATTAGGGATTTACAATTTCTTCTTTTTATCAAATACTACTAACAAATCAAACACCATAAAGGAAAAGGAAATATTAAGTGTCTGACCAAAGGATACTTTTGGTACTATAAAGCAATTCTTGAATTCTAGGTTACAGCATTTCTAAAAGCTTACACTTAAAAGGAAAAAATAAACTTGAGTTAATTTTAAAAAGAAATTGTATTTACTTACCTTTCTTTATTTTAGGGGACCCCAAAAGATTGCCACTGCTAGGACAGGTACATGATGTATTTTCGTTGGTAACAATTACTTCTACACAACTATTACCATCTTCAGTGCTGCCACAGGCTTTACAGCTGTTTTCTATGAAGTCTGTTTCCTTTAAGGATCAGCATTAAGAAACAGTTTTAAAAAGGTTTACCCCCATAATGGCTACACTTACATTAACTAATTAGATAAGTTACGAGGCTAACAATAAAAAAACTACTCTCACAAAAAAATATTAATTCACTTCAAGACTTTGAACCAACTAAAAGCAAGTCGAGTTAATGGTTCCTTAGGTCAAAACTATTTTCATCGTAATACTAAGATGTAATCTGCTCTTTCACTGTATTGACACACTGATGATACAAAAGCAACAGTGGAAAAAGTTCCTGGGGCTTTAGCAACACAAATCAAGGCAGTGGCAACCAAAGTGTACTAATAGTCACTGTATTCTTCACTTGTCAAGCACTCTCAGGAGACAGATATTTCACTTTTAAATGTCTTTGAAGCAATAAAAATATTAATTTTATTAAATATAAACCCATCAGTAAATGTCTTTTTAAGAGCCTGTGTGACAAATGGGAAGTACACTTGAAGCACTTTTGCTGTACACCAAAATATAATCACTATCTCAAGGAGAAGGTACTTGTGCCAGTTTCAATTGAAAGCTAAATTAGTTGCTATTTTTCCTGGGTCATCAATTTACTTGAAAGAAAGAATGAAGACAAACTATGGTTACTCAAACCTTGGCTATTAAAAGGCATTTTCTCAAAAATGAAGTTAAAAAACAAAAATGAAGTCAGCCCATCACTTTAAGGAAAACAATGAACAGTATTTGTTGTCAATGATAAAATTCACCAAGCTTTCAAATTCAACCAGAATTCTGAAACTTGCATATGCAAGCACAATGAGCTTGAAGCTTCCCAGTACTTAAAAATCTTTCTGATGAGATCAGCAATGGTTTTAATGTGATTGATTATCTGGTATTATATAATGAAATGTCAATACCTGGGGAGATAATCAGTGAACCAGTATCTTTCTTTTAAAAAAAAAAAAATTATATAGATCAGAGAGAGAGAGAGAGAAAGAGAGAGAGAAACATCAATGATGAGAATCATTGATCAGCTGCCTCCTGAATGCCCCCTACTGGGAATGAAGCCCAAAATCCAGGCATGTGCAGATTGGGAATGGAACCATTACCTCCTGATGTGTAAGTTGAAGGTTAACCACTAAGTCACACCGGCTGGGCTGAACCGGTATCTTTCAAATAACCTTGCATTCTGTTGCAAAATCATGCATGAGTAAAAGATCTATTCAAAGTGCAAGACTTTCTTCATATGCTTCAACCAGCAAGAGAAAAACAGACTGAATGCAGAAGCAGATATGAGAATCCACCTGATTGATTCCTTTAAGCCAAATATTAGAGATTTGCAAAAATATAAAATAACTAGGGGCTCGGTGCACGAAATTCGTGCACTGGGTGGGGGTGGGGGGGGTCCCTCCGCCCAGCCTGCCCCCTCTCACATACTGGGAGCCCTCAGGCGTTGAC